ACTCGAACGATCGCGTTCGCTGCTGTGTAGTAAATCTTTGGCAATATCAGAAACGAGAGCGACGTTATGAGTAATTCGCGTTACGACATCGTCATCGTCGTCATTATCGTTGCTCATTGTCGTCGTCTCAAGTGAGTAATCCGTATCGCGCAGTACACGGAATTTTTACGGCTTCCTTTCTTCACTACGCTTTGGACAGAGAATGTCGTCAGTTTTACGATTCGGTTTCATCGAATCTTTAATCTGCGGGGAACAGAGACGTACTGTCACGATTCTTGACGCCCGAGAGAGAACGCTTTGCTCAAATTCGGAAAGTTTGACCAAAGTTCGAAGTTGATTCGAACTTTCTTAAAGTCTCGCGTTAGAATACCCGTTACTCGGGTAATTTCGTTTCTTCGCGAAGCGACGAAAAGAAATTGTTCGACCGTTTGTACGAAAAAGGACAGAAATATAATTGCGTAGAACTCTTGCATTTAAATGGAGAGCTGCGGCTCTATTTATAATCGGGTCTTTAAACATTAAATCGAAAACATGTTTTATTCGCGATAGAATTTCAAGTAAAATGTAAAATAAAATATATGAACGAAACTTTTTTAAATTTTGTTCCGATTTTAAATATATATCTTTAATAACATTGTCCATTTAATTCTGTAACATATAGTTAACAATTTTTTTATTATTATTATTCAGACATTCGTATAATCGAGCACATAAACATCCTCGAAATTTATGTTTTCGACGTTCTTTTTCTTAGCGGTAATCTTAGTTGTGGGAGGTCGGGATCCTACACGGGTAGATTTTCCTTCATGGAAAGATCTTATCTGGGCATTGTTTTACTTGCGTACGAGAGAATGTCCTCGACATGGAATGCGCTGATGTATCTTAGTTGAAGTGCAGCACGCGATGTATGTATATATATAAGTTTGGCAGATACCGAGAAACTGATCTTCAACCTTCCTCCGCTACGTCCTGATAGCCGATTTCCGGTGGCATACGAACCACATAAGCGATTCCAGCTGCCAAATGCGTCGCAGGATTGATTACCGTGAATCAAGACGACAAATAGAGCTTGCACACATTCCAGATGAATTACCATATGACGTCTTGCATTTAAACGATGCGTAAGCAGTTTTGCATAGCCGTGACAAAGCCGTTGATAAATATTGATATCTTTGATTCGTACAAGTGCACAACAAATCGCGCGGATGTTCTAGCGATGATTTGCCAATAACACAGTACACACTAATATTAACTACGATATATAGATTCGTAATTATTTTATGAATTGTTAAGAGCAGAGATTTCTGATTTTTAAAAGTGAGAGAAAGATTTAAAATATATCGAAAAATATTATCATTCATTTTAATATAATCTGCAATGCTAAAAATTATAATATTGATATATATAGCTCAAAGAATTAAAATTCCCTTAAAATGCATTGAAATTAACTAAAACAAAGAATTATTATTTAATTTCTTTTATCTTTATCTCTAGTCGCTTGTAACTTAATAATTGCGATCATATATATATATTTCTCTTTTCGGCACTCTAAACAATTAAACTATAAATAATTTAAATACTAATAATATAAAGTGAAAAATCGATTACATTTTTAAATGATTTTTTTATAATGCTCGTTATTTTGGTTAGATTATTAGAAAATCGCTGTTCCACATTTACCTTATTTAAATCAAATCGATTATTCCATGACTTTTAAAATCCAAGAATCTCTCACACAATGTAAGATCGGCGAGGAATTAATAAATGTTTCGCTTTATGAATAGCAAATCACGCGGGACTCAAACTTGTTTGCCAACAGATAATTACATTTAATTAGTAAGCCGTCTCGTGCGCGAATCAGAAATTATGTCTTCCGTCTAATTACTTAGACGAGCGGGAAAGACAGAGAAAAAGAGAGTTGTTGCTGCTGCGCGTAGGGTCGCAGATTAGCATAGCCGACCATTAGCGCACGAGATCGTGACAGATCGGACAGAACGGATTCGTAGCGAAAGGTTGTATCGTGAGGAGGATAAAAGGAGGCCGTGGGTTCTTTAATGCCGCGTCATCGTGTCGGAGATAAATGGGGATCGAAGATGAAATCCCCCGCACGTGCAATTCTCACTTCTCTGTTTCGCGGCCGGTCGAGAACAGGCCACAAGTATTTGCAGTTCTGCATTAAGTACGCCGCGTAGATATCTCACTCTTTCGCGAGAGAACCGAAACGATCGCTTCCATGGGCGTGGCAGCGAGAAGCAGCAGCAGCAGCAGCACCATGCATCGTAATATAGCGAGAAAACGCTCTGAGAAACGGAGATGATAGATTAATTTAATCGACTAAAAATTGCATCTCTATTCATACACAGCTGCACAAAATTCCGATTTCTCTTTCGAATAATATTACCGATAAAAAAAGGCCGAACATAAATTTTTCGAGAATATTTACGTTTGATTATGATTATAAGCAAACGATACCTTGATTCACGATATCCTTGAAATTTACGATATCCTTCAATGGAAATACTATCTGTTGCTTATTTACGCTTCAGTGCGTACAAGGCGCATTTTCTGTATATTTTTTCTATTTATCTTTCTTTATCGCGGATAGAGATAACCGCTAGACTTCGGATTTCGAAAGAGTGTTTTTTCTCTCGCATCGTACTTCTTCTCGCACGCGGAAGTTTCTTGTCGGCGTTTACGATGATCCCAGACCCGAAATTCCATTCGTGCCAAAGCGTTATCTAATTCCGTCGCGCAAGCGTTCCTCGCCGTCGCCGTTTTTCGCATTAGTCACCGGCTTCCAAAAGCGAAAGGCGATTCGTAATATAGTCCAACTAACTGCGAGTAGATATAGAACGCGTGTTTTTGTTTCGCTCGAGTGATCACCGTAGTTGCCCAATTTCCAGGTAGAGAAATTGTTGATTTTCAGGTAATGCGGAGTACAATCGATATCCGAGAGATTATCCGAGAAAGCAATCAACGATGACCGCCATTTTAATCGTCCTCGATACGTTTCGGTAAACTATATCAGTAGAAATATAAACCTCATTATATCATGATCGGCTTTTAGCGATTGATTAATTTATTTGAATTTCTGCGCGTGTCAGTAATGTATGCGATACGAATGAGATCCGATCGATTTTGTTGAAATATAAGAAAAATTATACGATAATAATTTGAACGTTTCATACTTCTCAGAGTGACATACATTACACATTGCATGTTTGAATAATAAGGCGCGGCACTCTTTACAGCGAAAGTTTTCCAGGAAAATTTCGCAGTAGCCTAAGACGTGATCCTATCGAGCGATTGCGAGAATTATGCGGGACGATAAAAAAAAGTCGTTATATGGGGAGATTGCCAGCTATTTGCGTCGTTACCGAGGATAACGTGAGCTTAAGGGGATCGTTATCTACGGTCCTTAACTGAAATTTAGCCAGGAACCAGTTTGGGTGGGAGTCAAACAATTCGAAGCAGAAGGGAACTTGTTCGATTTAGAGGAACGCGACTTAATCTCCTTTGCTCTTGTAAGACATGAAATGTCCATCAAAAAGATTCTATTTTAGTACGATACTCCGAGAATGATTGGATTGATATGAGTGAATAATGAGTTCCATTGGAATCTCAAATTATCATATATTAAACTTTATAGATTATATCCTATAAGATGTGTCTTATAAAAACGAATTTTCTCATCTGCCAGAGATAATTTTAAATATTAAAATGGGAAAGAGGAGGTGTTAAAGCAAATTTATTTTTGAATACATAAAGAGAGGAATTATTTTTCATATATTTTAACATTTATTTTTCGAAGATTCTATGCCATAATTAATCACATCATCTTGCGCGTAATAACTTGCAAAAGTTAAGCCTAACGGACAAGATAATCACGATCCTGAAGACCGCTACTTTCCTCGACGTTCACCGGAACTGAAATCAGTGTCCTGAGATAAATAATCCTCCGTAACATACAGGGCCCCGCCCTATGTCAGGTCGGTCGCCTCGTGAATACCCCGTTCTCCTCTCGCTCCTGGAGTTAAGAGCCGCTGTCACGACGCGAACGGGATCCCAGGGTGCCAGGACATGTTCGCTACATCCCTGCCGTGCTTTCCGCTTCCCCTCTCTTCCCCGTTACCTTTCTCGCTGTGTTCATTCTTTCTCTGACAATCGAGCGGTACGGATCGCGTACGGGACCGCAGGGTCGTGCGAGGGAGAGAAAAAGGAGGGCGTTAAAATCTTTCGCGTGTCGAAATATCTCGTAGAGAGAGAAAGAGAGGGAGCTTTGCGGCGCATTACAAATAAACGTTAGGTTTTCGCGAGATTCGGGCTCGAATGCCTTCGATAGACAAAGGAAAGACGTTGCAGCATCGCCTCGTATACGCGTGTAGGACGCAGAACGCAGGTCGAAACGGAGGCTGAGCAGAACAAAGGAACATCTCTCGCGCGACGGTGATCTCTTTCTCTCTTGTTGCCGCTACTGCTACACACCGCGCCGCCGAGAGAGGAGCCGATCGATCATTAACCCGACTGTAGAGCCCGGGCCATCTCGTGATTCGCCCCGCGTGTGTACATCGTCGTCGTCGTCGTCGTTGTCGTCGACGATCGACGCGCGCTTTCGCACACCTTCGCCGAAGACGAGAGAACGGAAAGAAAGAGAGAGAGATACGGTCACCGCTGTTCTGCGGTGCGTCCTTTCATGATCCTCGATTGGGGTATCGACGTACCTGCGATTTACGAGCCGCGGCACATGGGATACGGGAGAGAAGAGGCTGTCGGGAGATAGAGAGGCCAGTGCGGGGTGTGCGTACCGAGAGAGCGAGAGAGAGAGAGAGAGAGAGAAGAGAGAAAAAAAGCACAAGAGCGACAAAGTGGGAGAGAGAAGGAAAGAGAGAGCGTGGAAAGAAAATAGAGGAACGGCGAGAGACAGAGACGGAGAGATAGAAAGGTACAGGGAGAAACGAGTGAGCGAGAGAGAAAGAGAGATATCCTAAAAGGACGGAGAGAAAGGGAGAGAGAGAGAAGCAGTTGGGGAGGGGGAAGCAGTACGAGCGAGCAACGCACTGGTGGCAGAAAGACGGACGGACAGACAGACGGACCGACCGACCGACAGACGGACGCCGCTTCCCCTCCGTTCTCGCACTCGCGCCAGTCGGTCGCGCGTTACCGAGCTAAGTGGATGGGTTGCAAACGCGCTCCCGTTGAAAAGTTTCCCCTGCCTGTTCGTCACGCCGCACGAGAGAAGGAAAGAGAGGCCTCTCTTCCTACGTACGTATTTACGGTGTTAACTTTGTGGTAAACACGCGCGCCGCGTTTCGTCCTTTGTATTATTTATACACGCTGCTGCGTAACTTGTGAGAGAGAGAGAGAGAGAGAGACACCGCCGTCGTACTTTGTGTGCCCGGCGAATTTCAAAGAGGATTATAAGGTGCATCGCGAAGTGCGCGTCTCATCAGACGTATAACATCCTCGCAGAATCTTCCTGTAAGGAAAATTTCCTCGCTTAAAGTTTCGGTGAGTACTCAAAAAAGTGACGAGTGTCGTCGTTTACGATCGTCAAGGTCGTGTTCTTTTGTTTTATTGTTATCGACGAAAGGAGCCGGCTCTTCCTAGAGGGAATAACTGTTGCGCGTCCTCAAAAATCTTTACGTTCGCGCGTGCTATATAGTTCGCCGTCGTTTTGTCACCTCATCAGGGAGAAGGGTAATTGATATGCGGCTCTCGCGCGACGAAACATCGAAGCGAGGTTCATGCCGGGATGTGGCTGGAGCCGTCCGGATTTCGACCGGATTTACCCCCCCGCGCCATTTTGAAAATGGGCTGCCGGAACGGCAATCGATATAGCGGACGGCGCCAGCCGCATCGAGCGAGAGGAACCTCGAGGACAACGGCGTTTCCGCTTGTCCTCGGGAGGCGCGTCCTTCCCGAGGACGAGCCTTCGCGTTCCTCGAGTTGCTCCGAAATCGAGTCGAGAGTCGAATCGGCATAACTTTTGCGGAATTCGCAAGCCCCCTGTGCGTGAGCGAACGATCCTTTAGAACGAACCGACCGGTTGTTACGCCATCTTGATTCCGTGCCCCACCATCTGCTCGATGGTGGTCTCACACTTAATCCCCGAACGATCGAACCTTACATACGCGCGATTTTCAGCCGACCTTTTCCGCGCTTGAAATCGCGCAATCGCGCATACCTGTGCCAATATACTTTATCGCTTTACCGACATTTCGAATCGTTGGGCGAAGAACACAGAATGGTATAAGTCATCCTTATATCTCCCTTCCTTTTCCCTGAAACAAAGGACAAACTTTTCGACATTGCTTAATTCCGGAAATTCCGGGAAATCCCATTATTTTATCGCAGTGTAATAATCATGATATTACACACATACACATATATATATATATTTATATGTGATTAGGAATAGAGCAAAAAATATATGTGACATACAAGGATTAATGATGCAGAGGAATAAGAATAATTATTTTCAGTTTTCATTTTAAATCAAAATAAAATAATTATCGCCGAGAGAGAGACAATAAGATATGCTTATTTAAATATAATTGTTTATTCATTGTGTGAGATCACTTTCGTGAACTCGATAAATTTTTCGTTCGTTGATCTGTTCTTTGCGATTGATAGAATTAAAGCAATAAGGAAGAGAGAAACAAAGAAACAATAATATATTCTTGCTAATTTTGGTGTCTTCGATGCGATGCGTTCGTTCCCCTTTCTTTTTCTTTCTTTTTCGCCTTTGTGTTGATTTTGCATAGCAAATTTCTATCTGACCTGACCTGACCTGACCCTGACGCGCACTTAATGCAGTCCAGATTTCCACGGAAGTGATTGTTGTGTCGCTCGAGAAAGGACCGGTTTCAAACGGAGAAAAGCTCGAGAAAATGCGCCGGCCTATTGATTCTTTTAAAAGAGCGTTCGAAATATTTTTCGCAAAAAAATGTTGAAATATTTTTCTCGATTTTCTCAAAAAAATCATGCCTTCTCATAATAAAAAATTAATATATTTTGATTATTCATCGCTGATACTATTTTATCCTGTCATCGTATGAAATCACACATTCGATAATCTGTTACATTTTGCTATATTTCCGTAATCATCTTGGGATAAAAATCATTAACACTAACATGGGTAAATTTTTACTCAGAAATATTTTTAATCGTACAAAAAATTCTGAAAAAAGACATGAATATTTTAGAATGCCTCATCGGTATACATGCTAAAGTGCTTGTCTAGAAATTCTTTTATATTTTCATATAAAAATTTAAAGCGTGATTCTTTTGAAGATAAGATTTTTTATCTTCAAAATAAGAGTACAAATTGAAAGATAGATAAAAAAATTTTTTTGATATAATATTTGGAAGGACAGAAGTATTTGACATTTACACTGCTATTTGAATTTTCACCCATGTTAGTAATCTAGGGTTAATGGCGAAATTCGCGGAGATTTATACGCGACGAGGATGCTGCGCCGTGCGTCTCCTCTCGAAGAGAGGAGAGGAAGGGAGGGGAAGGATTAACGCGCGGCATTTGCTCGACCTGCACCTGCACCTGCGTCGCGTGCATACGTTGACCGGTGTTCGCTCGATCGCGGCCTCGTCAAATGTTCCTCTCGCGCGAATGTATCGCCGCTCCTCGTTGTTGCAGCCCCGGAGGCCCTCTCTCCTTCACGCGGACCCTCAGCCGCGGATCCCGTCGATCCGCGCGCGCGGGCTCTCCCTTCTTCCCCCTCTTCTTGCAATCGGCAGCAACTAGTTTCAGCAATAGCGGCGGCGGCGGCGGCTCCGCGCCGTCCACGCGATAACGGGTCGTTAACATGCCCACATCTGCCTTTCTCTCGGTGCACAGGCTCTCCGAGGAAGAGAGGCGGCTTATCCCCCATCACGCATTTTCAACGCTCGACGCGATTTCCCGGTTAAGATCTCAAACGCGATCTTCGCATTAGAGGCACGGAGAGATATATGCCTTTTTAATGGTGAACGTAATCATTTTATTCGAAATCGCTTTTATTCGTCTAATATCTTCCGTTCGACGGAAGATGTTTAAAATCATGCCGGATATTTTTTGTGATTTTTTTTATCCTTCGTGTGTCAAAAAGTGTGGAGAATAAAGTTTTGTCGGTATCGTTTTCACGCTATTTTAATCGTGCTTTAACCTACTAACTCATTCTTTTTTCGCCGCTGGGGCGAATCTTCCTATTTTGTCGTTTACGAGCACTTTTTACGATACGTTTCCTGGAACTTTCGCTCTCCTGGTCGCGTTCTGGTCGCGTGTTTACATGGGCTTAGGAAGGGAGGAGAGGTTGCACGCGCCGCAATACCGGGTCGAAAATAGACCTACACAGCGGTTTCGGATATATATGCACGCGTTTTTCAAGTCCACTAACTTTTCTCGTTTGCCCTTATGACGGCCGCCGGCTTTCAGTAACAGAGCGAGTACGACACGTGCGCGCGCGTATCTGTTCACGTATGCGAGACACACATTCATATACGGACTCGCGGTGTGATGGTGATGATAATAATGATGGTGGTGGTGGTGGTGGTGGTTCGACATCTATTCTTCCACACGCTTCCACTACGTTATTCTCAATTTTGACAACGGCTGCGAGAGAAAGAGCAGATGTCTTTTTTTTTCGGGAACGAAATAGGGTCAATACAATGAGATGGAAGAATGAGAGACGAGGAACAAAAACGAAACGTAAGAATACAACCCGCGCAGTAGTAGTATGTCTATATTCCTAACTAATCACAATGTCAAAATGTCGTTTCAATAGACAGAGAATCGTCCGTCCGTTTTATCCCTTTATGACATATGCCTTCCGCGATTGATATAGCTTCTTCGAGTCATTATCTTATTTTTAGTGGTTATATTTGTTCCCTTTTCTTTCTCTTCATTAGCTATTTCTGTATCTCAATATGTGCTAGCCCCTATATCGAGCCAAACTGTCGAATTAGACGTGTCAGGCGTAGGGAAATAATGGCTGATTGATTGGACACACAGTTACACAGCGACACACGCATACATACGTACATCTCGTGCCCGTGGGAATTAGGGGACAGGCGTACTCTCGTGCAATGTCGTGGAAAAAGAATTTTTTGTTTATCGTGGAGAGAGTGCGTGTGTCATTTGGATCATCGGATGAGTCAGCGGATGTGACATCGACTTGACGAAGTGTTGAGTCAGGTTGCGGGGACAAACATCGATCTTGAGTTTATCTCTCATCATCTTTAGGGATATAGTATCTTTAATCACGCATTACTATTCTTGCAAATGCGATTAAAATGATATTAAAATTATATATATATATACTGTGCCATTAACTGTCGCTTTATATAAAATTCAGTACTTGATGATTTATGTGTCTAAATTAAAAAAAAAAAATATTACGCAAGTTAATTTATACAATGCTTAATGAGGAAAGAAAGATATAAATTTCAAGCACGAATTCGAAGAAGTTGAAGAAAGAACTCCGGATACGCCGTGCATGAACAAGCGAGTCATCAATGTCTATTTATGCACCTTCGTAGCCTTGAAATCGCCGCGAGATATTCAATTTTCCGGTTGTTTCTCGTCATCTCGTAGTTTCATTATGATACCATAATAGCCCGTCGTTCTCTCCTCGGTACATACTTATCGTTCGCTTTATCGCCGCAACGGAATTCTCTCACATGTCACCGTCAAACGGCGATCGTTCTGTCCTCGTTAACGCCTTAATAGATGGCATCGACCTCTGAATGCGCTTATTAATCAATTGAGCGATACGACCGAAAGAAATCTCGGCGCTCATTATACTTCCCTCCGCGCGCCGTTTCTTCGCACGAAACGAAACGAAACGGATAATATGAGAAGAGGAAAAACGTTATCGTCTTCGTACACTTCGTTTCACAAACGCCTTTCGCGAATTTTTTCTCGGTCTTTCATCTGCCGCAAAATCGCGATTGCCTCATCGGAAAGATCGCAAACATACTCTCCGAGTATATCACCGTATTACTTGCTGATGATGCGCTAGCAACTACTTTTACTGCGTATCCAACACGCTTCCTCGCGTATGTATTTCTATTCTCGCGGCCTCGAGCAACGCTATTTCGCAATGCGCGGAGGAAAATTGATAACTTGAGGAAAAAAATTATAAAAATTGCTGTTTTGTTGCATCATTTAATCTATTTTTATATCAAGTGTAATTTTTATATTTTTTATATTTATTATTTATTTTATCGTTCTCGAGTAGTATTGCGTAAATGTTGAATTGAAAAATTTTAATATAGGAGTGAATATTTCTGGCAACACTGTAATATCGTTTCGAATGACGGGGTTTCGATGTTATCAGTCGTTTCGTGAGTGAATCAACAACAGAATGCCTGTTGTGTTTTCGAAGAATAGCTTTGTATAGCCTTTTAATTATATTTAACGTTATTTACATATTCAGCGATTTATCGAATGCATCGAAAAATACTGCATGGAAAAAAATTTTAAAATAAAAAATATATGTTTAATTATGATT